GTGTGGCTTTATATGAATAGTTCTTGGGGAGTAAATTATGATAAAAAATCAAAGCCACCATAAATTAAATGTGCTTTTTTTCTGCTTTGGTATACAAGACTTTCCATTAAGCTAGCCCCATATAATATACCTTGGATGTGTTCAAGAAAGCCTTGTAAATTATAGTAAGTATTTAAAATGGTAAGTAGACATTGAAAAAGGCCACATTAGGATTAATGAATGAAAGGGTTGATACTAAAAATGCACTTGTAAATAAATAACATGAAAAGTAAAGATGACACACTGTTAGGTTAGAGTTACAAGTGTGGGGAGTATGATAAATCATAGAGCTGTTTGCTAGAGCTTCACATTCTGGTTGCATGTCCCTCTAGGTTCTCACTCCGCATCCCACAAAAATCTTTCCTCATCTTACCCCATGCCATATACATCCAGGAGGCTCTTGTTACTGGTGAATGGGTCCTGTTCATTTGCCTGGGGTATTCTACCATATGATAGATACAAGGCATTCGTTGATTGATTCAGTCAAATGTAGACAGTGAGTTAAGCCATAGCTACAGTAAAAATACTCTAGCTGTGGCTGGTAGTGTTTATGTGCCATATGTACATCTAAACCTTATTCTTTGGTAGCTGGGAGTATACACCGGACCAAACTGTCTGTACTGCTCTGCCATTTTAACTTTGACTTCTGAAGTGGTACTGTATGTGCTTTATATTTACCCATGATTTAACTGTGTAATCACTGTTAGCAGTGGGTTATTTTTCTAATGTAGATAGAGATTCTGTAAAAGGCTTTTTGCATCCTTGGTGGGAACCCAGGTCAAGTCACCATTTAGAAACAGTTATTGACAACAATTGCAGGGCAACAAAAAAAGAGGGGCCACGGCAGCTTGAAGGCAGCTTGAAAGAAGTCCTGGACAGCATTCACTTTTCTGTATAGTATATGAGCAAATCAGGATTGGAAACAACAGCAGTGGGATCTGCAGCTGTGAGGGCAGAGGCCGAGCCAGAATTTTGCTTTAGGACTTTGTGCTGCGTGGCTATAGACCTGAAATGGGGAGAAAAGGCTGAGGGCCAGGGTGAAATCTATATTACGTATCCAATGGGTGTATCTACATGTCAAGTACGATGATATTGCTATGGCACCATGCTGTAATACTTCCTTTTAGCACGGCACAGTAATTACCAGTACCGCGCTATGCCTATAGTGCATGGTTAGATTTCACCGCTACATCACCGTAACATCATGTTAAAATGGGGGAGCAAGCCGCTATGGTGACATAGCTGCCGATCATGTGTAGACCCATGTGATCACTACATCACCGTAGCATGCCATACAGTGATGCAGTGCATTGCTATGGTGATGTAGGGTGACATGTAGATGCACCCAATATGTGTATTTAATGGGGTTCAAAAAGAGGACCAAGTTAAGAGTCTACAGCTTGGTAAAAAAGACAAAGGAGAGCAATATTTTTCTTAGGTTTGTCAGGTTAAAATATGTCTGGTTTTGACAGAGTACAGTGACAAATTCTTTGCGATCATATCACAGGCATATTTAAAGTATGGTAAGAATGGAGACTTAAAGTGCTGCATAGGACTGCATGTGTTTTCCAAGACCTAGCGAAAGTGCTTTATTTCCAGACTGCATTTTTTTTCACTTTTTCATAATTGCAAATACCTTTTGCATCATATCATATAACCTACTATGCCATAGCATCTGTGCATAAAGTACATTGTAGTCTGTTGTAGTTCAGCTGGAATAATTTCTGATGGTGCTGAGGCACAGTCCAAATAAGAAAGAAGTGACAGATAGACTAGAAAAGGTATGTACCTCAATGCTAATGGATCGCCACAGCAGGTGAAAGCCAATCTGTGTAATCACATTTGAATTTGCACATCTGAATGTACATGTGTAAATCAAATGGATGTTTATTCACAAATATACAGTGGGATATGGAAAGTTGAATTGTGCTGCATGAAGATTACATGTATTTTAATTCAATATGGCATGACATGTACAACTACATTCTGATTTATAGTTACTTGGGGGAAATCCAAAGTATAAAGTCTTCAGAGAAGTTACTCTGGATTCACAGTAGTGTAGAATGAAATCAGAATCTGGCATGAAGTGATGGGTGGGTACATTTTTATAACCTGATTTTACTTCCCTCTATAGTATTCAATTTTATCCACATAGGTCCACTGAGAAAACAAGGTTCTTCTCTCAGTGAAGTGTTTATGGGCCCATACAGCCCAAGGAATACCTTTTATGTTCCTGTGGCACTTTGAATATCTTTGAGTGGGAAGAAGTCTTTGTGGGTAAGAATAAATCCACATACTTTTTGGTCTGCCATGCAAGGAAGGCCAGAGCAGCAGTCAGTGCCATCTAAATCTTTGCCAGGCCCCAGGGAAGGATTTAAGTTCAGGTTCCCTATTTGAGTAAGCACTAGGAACAAATGGTAACATAAAGGTTAGTAGAAGATTATAAATAGGATAATAAATGGAGAAGGAAGGATTATACTACCACATTAGAAATCATTTGAAGGCAAGTTAGAAACCCTCCTGCTTTGCAATAATTTCTGAGTACCCAGATTGATGGTAATCTATCCATCTGTGTTATTTATTAGAGTGAAATATGTTTTGAAACAATTAAAAAAAACTTTAAAATCACTATAGCTACATGTGTACCAGGGCAACAGAATTCTAATAGACAAAGAAGAATTTTAATATGGTATGTGAAAATACTTGCAATGGAAGTGCTTCTGAGTTTATCCAATCAAATAAAAGAAATAATATTATGTCACTTATATGACCAACATAAACTCAATAACTTAACTTAAATTCTGAATACTTGTGATTAATCATTAGAGCAGGGACTTTGAATAAATATTTGCTAGATAAATTCAGACACTGAATACATGTGAGGAAATAATAGTCAGTCCATGAATAAACTGGGAGCAGAAAGAAGTAAAATTAGTCCATTCATTGTAAATAGGTCACCCCTCACAGTTCTGCAGTTTATACAACTGCAAAGTTAAATAGCAAAAATAGAAGAAGGACTTAGGAAGAAGATAGCAGCAAGGTAGATGTCCGTCTGTCTGTCTGTCTATCTTAGATAGGTACATAATCCTTTTCACAACGGTATCTGAATTCCTCACAATCCTTGATCTTATATCTTACAGCACTTGTCAGGGGTTGGGATACTAATTTTTGTTTAACAAGTGAGAACTGAGGAACAGAGAAATAGGGACCTGCCCAAGTTCACAGCATTTGTGGCAGAGCAGAGAATCAGACCCATCTCCTGTGTTTACATCCTAATGGCTTTAATTTAGTTGGTGTGGGAAGCAATAGCAAAGAAGATGCAGCAGGAAGGATTTCAGCAACCAGAACAGTAGCCATCTGGAGATTTTGGGTTTGTTTTCTCAGAGCTATCTAGCCTCCCCATGGTACAAGAACACTATACTTCTACTGCATAGTCATACTCTGGGTGGTCAGCTGAGCTTTAAAATAAGATAGAAAGTTGATAAGTTGCTTGGATACAGGAAGGCTTTCTGGATGCACAAAAGAAAGTTTTTGTACCCATAGTTGGTGATGTTGTACAAAGTAAGCAAAAAGAGACCAGGACAGGGAGTCAAGGAGGAAACAGTCGTGAGATAGGCTCAAAAGTCCCTGGAGAAGGACAGTTTTGAACATGAGTTGACATCATGAGGTGATTAAGAAAAGTGTGTTGATATTGATATGATTGAAGATAGGGTCATGGCCTGGGCCTGAGGGTTGAAAAATTAAGATACTAAGGAAGGCTAGGTTGGATAGGTTTCATCAACATATGTAATAAAGTCCCTAGTTAGGAGGACATCAGAGGAGATGTAATAAAGTCCTTAGTTAGGAGGACTAATCATGGAAATAGGTGAAGAGAGAACGTGACATAAACTACAGAGAATCTACGATTGCCAGAGAAGGGGGGTGACTATAGATATTAAAAGGGTGAGTTCATTTTAGTTTGATGTATGTGTTTTTCTTCTTATATCTGTGCATATAGTCTGGCTGACATATCTATAAAAATTGACTCATCAGGTGCTGCTTTGGATTGGTTCATTATTTTCTAAATTAATTTGATAGGCCAAAGAATCCCAAACTGTGGCCCAATAAGTCGCTGCATCATAATGAATGGGACTTGTGTTGGACAAATGAGTTTAGATTCACCTAGTGTTACCAGGGGCTGGGATGGCATGGTTACTAAGGCATATCCAGAGGTTGCAAGCAGAAGCACTAATGGCACAGCCCTATCCGGGGTTCAAATTGCACTTTGACTCTTGCGGGGGTCTGCAAAAAAATGTAAATGTGAATGAACAGTCCGATCTGAGATGCCCCCAGGTTATGATTTTCAAACTTTACAGGGGGACTGTTTTGTCTTATGGGGGGATTCAACCCCCACAGAGTTCCTCTGTAATTTGTACCCTGTCCATATCAGATTCCAACAAATCTGTGAACTCTGCTAAATCTCTTGCCACAAGGACATGAAAAAAAGGCAAGAAACCTGGTATTACTTGACAGCAGAAAACTGCTGCTTAATAGCTTGCTCTAATGAATGATTTTAGCAGAGGATTGAAAATAATATACATGCAGAGCCTCACCTTAGTCACTGGAACCAATCCAGATGCATTCCAGTGACTTTGTAAATCAACAGATTTCCACCTGTATAACTAAGATCCACACCATGTACATATTTGAGAAAGCAAGGCTTAATTTTGTTTTAAGGGTTTCTATATTTCACACCTCAGATTCATCAACTGGAAGTATGTTTTACCCATTTTTCCCACTCACATAGGTTTAAGAGGTTAGTTGAGCAAGATTATAGGTATCATCCTAGATTTAGCATGTTTTATACATTGCAAGGAAAATTTTGCCTGAGAAAAAATGGTGGAGCAATATTATTGCATTGGTTCAATGCGTCACATGCTTAAGAATGTTATCTGGATTTTTACCCAATGTTATTTTCAAAGCAGTGATGAATTATGACAGATCTTCTGAAGTAAATTGGAAACATGGCTGAAGTCAAGAGAGCAACACCAATTTACATCAGCAGAGGATTTGACCCATATTTTCATCTTTCTGATAACACTTTACCTGGGCAGGAGTAGATGCCTGAAGATGGAATTAGAGGTAACTCACTCTATAACTTCTATCAGTGAGAATCCTTAGATATGTTTTAGCTAGTTAAACAAATAGACTCACCCGCAGAATAGTAAATATGAAAAGAGTGCTTAAAAGAAAATATCTGTCTGCAGTAAAATCCAATGTAAGTAGGGTACACCTGATATATTTGCACCAATGATTAGAATGGCATTGATAGTCACTGAACTTTGTGAATTGGTAGGCAAGCCAACATTTTAAAGAAGAAGGGCAATACTTCACAGACTATATTCATTTTTTTGATGCATACAATTTAGTTTTACTTATGTTAATAATGCTTAGTATACTAACAGCTGCTTTGTGGTAGATGTTATGAATGTAGTGAAGTTGCAGTAACATAAAACGTATTACAGCACCGACTCAACTATTAAATCTTTTCTACAAAAGGCAGCCATCTTCTGTCTGTGAACTGTGGAGTGTGTGGATTAGTAAAATGTGAATTAGTGAGGTTCTGCTGATTAGCTGAAAAGATACTTACACCTTCTTCTTGACTTTTAGAGGTGAAGTGCCGTTGATTCAGAAAACATCCCATTACTGACACCTTTAATAATAATGTAACACTTCATAATGATAGTGAAAGAGGAGCAATTTGTAATGCCCAGTATAACCATCCTGAGACAGTGTGTCATGAATGTCTCTCTGCTAACATATCAGAGACCATCCAGCAGTCATCGTGCTCTCAGAGTATTTCTGGTCATGTATACATATAGAATTTTGAATCTGCCAAAATTTTATTTAAACAAGACCACACAGAAAACTGATTTACCTTACACAAATGTCTGGTGGAGAATAAGCATGTAAATTTTAATTTACTTATGGGCCAAAAGCAGGAGGCCACCACCTAAAAAATGGATGACAGCATCTGAAAGTGGTTCCAGCATTTTAAAAGCAATTATGGGAGGTAGATTTATGCATGAAACCTGCTCTGTACATTAAATAAATATGTGGATTTAATGACTGGAAAGAGAAAACCAGCTACAAAATAGCCAAAGTAACAGGTCATTGTAGCTGCTCCCCTGAGAACATAGTATGTGTCTGCATGTGTAGTTGGGTGTGAGTGTGCTTTGCAAATCTGAGGAAAATAAGTGAATATCCTTAAAAAGTGAATGATACAGAACGTTGTAGTATTTGCCTTCCTGTATAAGGAAAAGAAAGCTGTCTCTACATGAACATTTCCTAGAAAATACTGATGAGGATGGCAAAGAAGTAATGCATTCTTCACTCCAATGGAAATTAATGGAGCATGCATTCCTCATTCTCAGTCTATTTGAGGCTGCAACAGGGGATATCACATCTGGCAAAACTACTTTCAGTCATGTTATACCACTTATAACATCATCTGGACCTTAGGAAACAGCTTTCTGAAAATAAGGAATACTGTACTGTACCTGACATTAGCCTTGTTGAAAGGTACTGATAAGTTGCAGAAGCCTAAGAAATTAAGGGCCTAGTTTATAAAACCACATTTACATGGAATTTCCCTGAACTTTGTTACAGCAAATTACCTGGTTTTGCAATTTGTTAACCATCCTTTTCCCTTAAGTGCCTGTCTCTAAGGAAACAAGAGGTGCACATTGGTGAAACAGGACCAAATCAGTTTAAAAGGAGCATTTGGGGCTTCAACAGAAGAACATTGTGTGCTATGAAAAAAATGTTTTTTCAAGACACCAATAGAAACTGAGGGTGTTTATTATTAGTAATAATAATACTTTAAAGATTAAATAGGACCTATAACCTTCACAGACTGTGGATCTGCTCCTTTACCTGCGGTCCTTAACTCATGCAATTAGCATTTGTAAGATTCAGTGGTACCACTGGTGTGAGTAAAGACTATGACACATAGTCATGAGTATATGAAACATTGCAGGATATGTTCAGATACATATGTATCTGGACATATGGGATATGTTGCAGGATTCCAGGATATTGCAGGACATTGCAGGGTATGTCCAGATACATACAGATTGTTACCTCTGGGCTGGAGAGTTGTAGCAATCCAGTGCCCTGTATTTTCAGCAACAGAGAGGGGAAGAAAGTTGTAGTCAGGAACATTGAGTAAACTCCATCATCTTGAAAAGTGCTATAGGACTTTCATTGTTTATGCATAACAAACAGGAGCGTTGGTCTATAAGGCTTCATGAAACTGAAACAACTTAAATGCAGCACAAGCTTATCCTTTACAGCTGCAATATTTGCAATGGAATGACTAGGATAGGGTGAGCAGCACATCTGTTCTTGGTACTGATTTAAAGTACAAGTCAACAGTATTCTGCACTGCCTTGTTTCTCTGCCCTTTGGAACTGAGCATCCCCCCACCCCCACCTCAGTGCCTGCTGTCTGGTGCTTAGCACCCACAGACACTTTCTAGTGCTGAAAAGCATCTTTACCCAGGGTTTCAAAATTGGTAGTTATGCCTCTGGGTATTTGCATTTCCTACCCCTTAATCTCCTAGTCAGCAAGTGCTAAATTGCAATAATGCGAAGTACCTGCATTTTCCAAGTAAAAAATGCTATAAAACATGCTAAGGTGATAGAAACTGTGGAAATAGGGAAGGAATAAAAAAGTTTTGAATCATTAAAAAACTTCTACTGGAACACACAGGATTTCAGAACTTGTTGCCTATGGTTGTGCCTGGTATTTGGCTTTTTGTCATACATCCAAATGGTTTCCCAGCAAAAAGCTGGGACCTACATATCCTTGAATTTCGGGATATTTAAAATCTAGATTTGGTTTCCAGTGAGTGCATCTACATGTGTGTTTTAATATACAGTAGCAGCAAAAACCATGCTAATATACTAATGCACAGTAAAATTAGGCTACTGCACATTAAGCGTCACTAAAAAGTGTGCACTTTCACTACTGTGTATTAGGGCAGCCTAACATGCATTTAGTTAGTACCTCAAATTAAAGAGCACATGTACTTGGAGCAGAGGGGGGAGGATGTTTAATTAGAATGGCTCTGACTAATTAAAGTGCTACATTTATAATGGATCAGTGTCCCTGTGCTTAAAAATGGTGGCAGGGGCACTTGAACTAAAGCTTGTTTGACGAGCTTTAGATAAAGTGTCCCCACCACAATTTTTAAGCACGGGGATGCTGATACAAGGGACACAGGATGCTGCTGGAGTGAGGTAATTACCACAGACTCGATTAATCGAGTCTGCTCTGACATGCTGGAGTACCAGCGTGATGGAGCAGGCTGTGCGCTCATGTACAGGGACCCAGAGGTACTAAATTTAATGCGCAGTAGCAGAAGTGTGTTAATGAATGTGTAGATGCACCCAATTAGTTTGTTTGGGCCTGTGTCTGTTCAGGGCAGCCTGTATACCCCTGACACATTTATTAGTCATTTCAGATAGAAATTCATGGAAAGAAAAAAAAAAACAACTTTCTATTGTGAGCATGCATGTATGCACAGGGAGATTACCCAGTTCTTTATCCAGGAGGTCAGTAGATTAGATTCTGATTCAGAAATTTATAGGAAGTTGTATTAACATCCAAAGAAAATCAATGTCCTGGTTAAAAAGTACCAAGAAGTTCATTTCTACTTTAGGAGTATAATGTGCAGATTTTCTTTCGATGTTCAGCTGTTTCCAATGCTGGTTATAAAGAGTCCCCAGTGTCCCATCCTGCACCCGTGATTATAAAAATATTTAAAGTCACAGAAAGGATATATGGCTGTCCAGACACATATTTTGATTTATGTTATACCATTGTTTGGACACACATTTGAAGGCAAGGTTTTTGGCTGACAACGGCATCACAGAAGCAGTCTTCCATCCATATATTATAGTGATGACCCCTGGAAATTATCAGGGTTTAATACAAGGCTATAATATAAGGTTTCTGAAAACTCCTCTACATAAGCAGTAGACAACATAAAAAGTCATAGTACTATTTATGTGCCATCAAATCACATTAGGAGGGATTTGACCACATAAATAGTAAAATGACTTTTTGGGAATATGGAAATTGAAGAAAAATGTTTCAAATAAAAACCATATATTACAGAAAAATAGCAAATATGCAACAATATTTTGGAAGTAGAGAGGCTGGAAGGAAGGTAAAGACTTAACAGATTTTTAAATAATTATGCAAATGTTTCTGTGTTTTAGAACACGATTGACTGTACATCCATTGCTGTTATGTTATGTTAATTGATACATCAGTTTTGTGTTGGCTATCTGTACTGGGAGTGGGTTATTATCAGCCTATCTTAGTTTTAAAGTGAGCAGTAGTTAGTTATCCTTTGTATTTTCACTGCAACTAAAAATCTGGATGGAGGAGTTCTGTCTCCATTAAAGATAATGACAAAACTCCCAGATGTCAGGATTTCTCCTTGGGCAGTTTCTTTTTGAATCAAGAATGGGTATTTGTTACTTATTCTCCACTCACTGCCCATGGATGTCAATGGAACCTTTTTGCTGTTATTAGTGGCTATGGTAATAACAGTAGTAATATGAAATCTGTAGTGAGCTAGATGCTTTACAGATGGAGATAAATAAAAGCTTGCTTCCCACATTTGCCTCTAACCATGGTCCTACTCCTGTTGAAGTCAATCAAAGTTTTGCCATTGACTCCAATGTAAGCAGGATGAAGCCCTAAATACAAGGTACAAAATATTGGTAGATTTACTACCAGCCCTTTATGTGGGACAGCACTGAACCTCCTGAGGCACAAACTGGGAACCATGTTCTGATGCACAGAGTTATAATCTGCTTCCCAGTTTTCCTGTTTTACAGGAAATGTTGTGTGCCAGCTCTATAATTAGTACATGTGTTTTCTAGTTGTGCTGTCTGTAAAGGGTTATGTGTAGCTTCTTCTATTCCTTACCTCTTCTTACCTGCTATTTGGCTAATATGTATGGGTTGTGTCTCTGTGGAGACAGTTCTCTTCCCTA